TTACTTTTTTTCTTGTCAATTGTTAAGTCTAGACAAAATCCCAAAGACAATATTTCTCATGTATAAGCCTCTAATGAAGTCACAAAAGGCAAGTAGCAACTGGTTGTAGATTTATTTATTTATTTATTTTTTTAAATAATGTAGAATAATATTTTTCTAGTTCCTTCTTCAGTATTTGCATATTTTAATCAAATCACCCTTTTAAACAGGTGTATTTATGTTCCATACAGATTTAGCCAATACTGAGTCACATGTGAGAATACTGTATGGGCTGCTTTTTTAAGTTGCAAGAATAAACAGATGGAAACTTTTAGAAATGCAAGCAGAAAACCACATTTACTTATTTTATGTCTGGGGGAAAAAAAAGGCGCAAAAACCAAACAGATGAATAAAAAGCAACATGAACTGATTTCTTGCAGTTAATCGTCACAGTTTTGCTTCAGATTCACCATGTATTTCACTACCCATTGGGAGACACCGGAGTCAAACTTTGGCTCAAACACATAAAGCTGAACTCAAATCCAACTCAATTTCTTTAGCTTTGTATGAAAATCCACAGAAAAGCCAAAGCAGTTTTCCTTTTCCTTCAGTGCGCTGTTTAAAACCTTATTACTTTCTGAAATTACACAGTGAAAATTCTCAGTTCTTTACATTCTCTAATAAAATATACAACAGGACAGTATCTTTAACTAGCAAACGCTTCACTACACGTACTATGTTGATTGTGTTTTCCGACATAATCTACAAGGATGGCACGGCAAAAGAGATTACTGCCCGCCGCTGTTACGTCCTCGCCAGATTGTAGGGCCATTTCCCTCAGAACAGTTTGTCTTTAATCATCACCAGAGAACCTTGGGTATTGCTTGAAACATGTACATTATGGTTTATTTATCAGGAATGCTTCTCTGTGTTTTGACTCAGCCTTACATCACTCAGTGAGTCACTCCCGTACAAAGCAGTGTGGTATCATACTGTGGGTAGTGCAACAAGCTGTGCACACAGGCCTCAACCAGCAGTCACACTTCACTTGCTGATAATTTTGCCGCTCTGCCTCGTGCATCTCTAAGAACAAAGCAGCCCATCTGTCTCGCTGACGTGCAATGTGAGGGGGGTCAGCGCGTTTTGGAACCCAAAACGATATTAACTTTACATTTATCATAGGCAGTCCACTGCACAGAGTAAGCAGGGGGAGTCACCCGTCGAAACGCCTTCACCACATTCCCTCTCGTTTCGAAGTAAATTAGGCTCCCATTGCCTGTCTGCTATACTGCCGTTTCGGATTGCTGAGCACTGTCTATGGGAGTGTGCCCTCTGGTGACTGCGTCCTCAGCAAGAAGAACTGTGGATTTGTGAGCATTGCTTACTTTTATGCAAATCTTCTTTCCTCAGAGGGGGTGGGCTTGAAAAAAAATGGAGGCAGAGCAAAAAAGAAAAAAAAAATCAGCCAGAAAGTGAAAGGGAGAGAGAGCTCTTGCATTTTCTGAAGATGTGACATCTTATTATCAAAAAAAAAAAAAAAAAAAATCTGTAGCGTGTTAGCAGATGCTATTTCTGAGTATAGGTTTCTTTCAGATTGGAGAGCACGATGAGTCCAAGCTAAAGCACATGTAATTCAACTTAAATGGATAAAAGAACCCGAAAAAGAGCCATAAGGTGAGCGGTAGTTGCGGTGAATGAGGTTTCCCACTGTGATTCATTGTCTTACCCATGCTGATTACAGTGCAGGCCATGTTTAGCGGCACCGCAGGCAAAGAGATGTAAAATACCTTAAATCATATTTTTACTGCAGTAGAATAATCTCATTGAAACACTTGGAAAATGTAACCTTCAATTTACATTTTTTATTTTATTTTTTTCAGTAGGGAAAATTTTACTTGCAGTTATTTATACGTTACTGCGGAAATTAATTTCACTGAAGAACGTTTCTTATGTATCCCTTTTAGAGTAAATTCATCATAGTTTCTTGGAATTAGGGATTCATTACTCTGTTTCCCTGAAGTATGAATATGATAAGACACAGAGGCACATTCCTCTGAGTCACTGGCTGCAAGGCTGGAAGAAGACCAGATTTTACTGCCACCATACTGAGTGAGGTAAAAGCAGTGGTGGAATCTCCACATAAGTGTGAAAACTCGTGGTTACCAAGTCTCGGGTAAGCACAAGTTATCTGAGACTTGTAATCAACCAGGTTATCAAAGCTGCTGCTAGACTGTTTTCTAACTTCTCATATTTGCTGGTGTATCAAATAACCTTTAACATCCTTGCCATTTTTATTGTACCAATATTTGCATGTTTTTTAAGATGGGAGGTGTGGGGGTGGGGCTTAATTTAGCATTTTATTGCTTCAGGACAGGATGCATTACTTTTACTGCGACGTCAGAAGCTTTTTCGTGCTATATTTAGGGATCAACTTACCATCTGAGACTTCAAGTTTAATGTTCCAAATGATTATTAATAGCTTTAACCAGAAAGTGTTGAAATTTGTTATTAAAAAGTTTCAGTTATCAGGCATGATGGATTTTATCCTGACAAAAAACCCCTTCGGAGTTCAACAACAAATCAGAATGAGACACAGACGGTTATACCTTTTAACGATGTCAAGTCTTGGTCTATCCAGACTGACATAAGGAGAATTGACAAATCAGTTTGCTACAGCAGGAATTTTCGTGTTTTGTGAAGAAAAAAAATAACATGTTTTGCTTTGCGTCTGCTGCTTTGGAAACAGATCGGTCAGCTGTGCATTTTAACATCTCCTTATCGGCGCAGACCCTTGGTGTGCACAGCCTTAGCCTCAGATCAAGTTAATATTGAGTAACTGCTGACATACATATGTGACTTACATATAACTTTTGTATCTTCATCTGACACGGCTGAGATGGAAATGAAGTTTTGTATGAGGTGTTGTCCAATGCATAGCAAGAGGGAGCTGGAGAGGATGTAACCATAGGCAGTGTAGTTGCGTCCAACACAACTGAAATGTAAGGCAGGTAAGGAGCAGTGTGATGGAGGTATAAAATGGCATGCTATTCACTGAATGCCGTTTTAAAAGCTCACTAGCTGCAAGTTGAAAGTGCAGCAGAAAAAGTTTCAACAGCCTTGAGAGCCAAGGTGCATATTGCCCAACTCCACTGAAACACACGGCACCGTATAATGGACGTATTACACAGAGCTTTTCACCACACACTCCAAGTGAGTGTCTCCTAAAACAAAGGTTAACTATGTGGAAAAACACCTCATGCCCACTTTTAAGCATGGTGGAAGATGTGTGATCATGTGGCGCTGCTTTTTTCCTTGAACCTTGTTCGAGTGCATGACATGAATATGTTTCGCCCCCCACTTAATGCTCACATTATTCTGTAAACACTGGATTTTTCTAGCATTTTCAGTGACAGCCAGTGCAATAAAAGAGGGATTTATTAAAAGTGTGCTTCCCACACTTTTAACTGTGCCTATAAACGTGACAGCCACTGCTAGCGCATAGCGTATAAGTGAATATCAATTCAAAGTTGCTGTAAATATTACACGTAGATAATGGTGTTTGAGGCGAAAAACCCACAAAAGCAAAACAGTAGACGACGAGTTTTCACACCATTAACCATTGAATGTATGGGTTTGAGCAGAGCTGGGGGATTGAAAATACTGCTAGCGGCACATTAACTTTTGTGAGAAAACTCCATCCACACACTGTTTTAAAAATCACTCTCAAAATAAAGCCAAATAAAACACAAAGATGCATCAAATTAGTTAACTGAATGTACCTTTGTTGAATAGACCCAACAGATCATATCAAGTCATGCTTTTTTTTTTTTTTTTTTACACCAAAATATGAAAGCTTTTCAGCCATGAAAATAAGGCTACAACACCGCCTGGAGGAATCTCAGGAGGCAGCTGTGGATGGTATCATTACCACAAAAAAAAAAAAAAAAAAACTCTGTCTGTACAGACCCAGTGACAGTGGTAGCATCGTGACATCACACCTCAGCCGCATTCTCTCCTTCCTGGCACAAATCTGAGGAGATGAAATTAATTTTACATGAACTCTGAGGGATTTCAGAGCCGCAGCTGAAGCAGCTGTTCTGACTGTGGCACAGTTTAACCAAACTGCATCTCTGGGAATGTTTAAAATTTATGGAAGGCAGCTAGTCAACCAACAAATACGCTTTATGTAATTATTTTTCACATCAGCTTTCACTCAGCATTCCTTGCCAGTGCAAGTCAATAACGCTTCTGTAAAGCTGTCAAACAACAGTAAAAACAAATTGAGCAAATGTTCCCAGAGACTTTAAAATGCAACGTCTGACTGTTCTCTGGCTGGTGCCAGATATTTATACACCCTGTATCGCAGTTCTATTTACTGATATTCTGAGTCATTTCATCTGTGAAGTTGAGATAATGCTACAATAGACAGAATACTAATATTTGTGATGAACAGAATAACATGGTACTGAAATTAGACACATGCACATTTTGTCGACGCATACATCGCAGATGTGAGGAAATTTCTGTCATTGTGCATTTGTCAAAATGTGTATTACTCGAGATGTACAGCCTTAAAGAGCCATTGTTCTTTCACATATATCAAAGGATGAACATATTGGCTCTTCATAATAAGGAGCCCTGCAGGAGGGCAATGTGGGCCGCAGGCACCCGGCATGCCTTTACTTTCTCTTGCACAGACCTATTTTCAAATACGATGGGGAAAAAGATGGATCTATCTTTTTCATATAAGGAAAAACTAAAGATTAAAACATACATGAAAAATGCATGAAAAATATGCACTCTGTTAATACAATGAAATATTAAAATGACAAATAACAAAAGCATCTTAATAGTAATAGCAAAGAACAAAATCGATTACAGTTATTAATACATAAACATTCTCAGTAAATTAGGTAAATAAATGCAAGGGGAAAAATATAATTTACTCTTAGTCTTAAGTCTTATTTATGATGAAATTTAAAATAAAATAAGATTAAGGACAGTGAAATCTTTTAATACACTCTTCGACTCAAATTCAAGCAAAACTGAAACCCAGATAGCGCAATAGAATTATTTCTCTAAAACAACATAGACAAATTCTAAATACAGTTTTTAAACACTTAATTTTCTTTTAATTGTGATTTTCATTAATTTTCAGGTCTGAGGGTTGCGCATTCTCAAGGTGAGCAACATAATGAAATACAAGGATCCTCATATGTTTTAGTTCACACAGCAGGGAAAGCTAACAGCCCGTGTCCAGAAGGCCTGGGCTTTCTGGAGGGTTCGTAAAATAAGAAGAGTTCCATTAAATAAGACGGATTAACACCATTGAAAGCTTTGTGAACAAGATCTGGAAATTAATCTTGAAGATCAAAGATGGCCACTGTAGGGACCAACATGATGTGTGCTCTTGTTTTTCTGTTTTTTTGTATTCAACATAACATTTTATCTGAAAGCCATTGTGCCTTTTGAAAAATATTATCACCACATCTGTTTCATCACTGTTTTACGGAAAGTGTTTTTAAAACCATATAATATGAACTTATCACTGAGTTTTCCTCATCTAGCTTGAAAAATAAGTTTTAATTTGCCCACCCAAGTATAGACCCAAATATATTTCATGTTTCAAAAATAATCTGCATCTTTTCTTTTCTTGTTTGTAACTTTGCATTGAAATTGGTGGCTTTTAGTCATTTGCAAATCCTGTTTTAAATTCTGCAAAACCTTTTTGAAAATATTACTTAATTTATTTTTTCTGTGTCTGATCAATTTATTATGCAGCAACACGCCATGAAAATGGCCAAAGGCTTGTCCTCCTCCTAACTACCTGATTTAGAAGCGTCTGATGTGTAATTTAAGTTGTCTCCATATTGGCTTGACCTATAATTACAAATGAACACTTTATTAGACTATGAATCTTAGGAAACTATGCACAGCTAAAGGGTGGTGGTATCTGTCATAAGTGTTTTATCGTCCATTGTGTTCTAAATGTCACCCTAATTATATGCATTACCATCTTGTTATATCAAAGAAAACTCAAAATTAGCCAATAATATTCCGAACCTTATAAGGTTATCCATCAAGGAAGAATGATGTATTAATAAATTTATTCTATTATAATAATGGTTGGCAGGCAAGTTGGCAATGTTCCTCTTGCTCTAGGACAGTGTTTATTTCTCACTTGAAGAACTACAATGCAATTTTTATTCAGTTTATTCTTGAAGACAAGGAAAACCTCAAATGATGTATGTAAGATAATACATAGTTTAATGTAGATGATGCCTGCTGAGAGGGTATTCATCTAAACTGAGGTGAACGGGGGAGGACATACAAAATGCAATGTGCTTGCAGACAGAAACTGTGGAGAATTCATAGCCGACCTCTACATAATATTCACTGTATTCTTTTACAAACAGCTGGAACATGTTCCAGGGATCAAAGTAACAGCACCAGTTCAGATGATATTTGACAGATTCTAGTTTGTTAATATGATACATTTTGCTCAAGCCTGAAAGTTATGGAGCATCACAGGATTCAATGCTTTGGGCCAGTTCTCTGAGTTACATTGTTGTAAACAATACGAGTTTCTTATTTGAATTCGGAGAAGACAGACATTTTTATCTTCCAACCAGAGAATCTGAAAAACAAACTGCTTGGTCAGTAACTGACTCATTCAGAAACATTGTAAAGAACCTCAGGATGCTGTGGTGGTGCAGGGGCAAAGCACAACCCACGTATTGAGGCCCTAGTCCTTGTGCCAGTGGTTGCAGGTTCGATTCCTGGCCTGGGGACATTTGCCACATGTCTTCTCCCTCTCTCATTACCCTATTTCCTGTTGAACTGTCACTCAAAATGACCCAATGCAGTTTCTGGGGTTCCTTAGAGAGAAAACCTTATGGCATTTGATGTATTACTTTTTAAAATTATTTTATTACTAAGACTGAATTGAAATGGATGTAAATAAGTCAGATTATGTCCGTATACCTGTAGTGGTATTTAATTGAGGCTGTTCTGTTTGTGATGTTTGACCAGCTCTAATACTTACCTGCTACAGAAATGAATCACATTTCCAAGTCTTATATGGAACCTGGAAATGTCCCACAGCTTCATTCAGACTCAGACATTGTCCAACTTTAAATGAACTAAAATCATGTCCATTGCATCAGTGCTGGGAACACAACTTGGCCTTTTTGACATAAATCTGTTTAATGAAGTGCTGCATAAAAGCAAAGCATTAAAAAGACAGTTATGAGCAGTAATATCAAACACAGTCTCCACAACACCCATCCTTAAAATCAGCTATTTAAACAGGTTCAAAGGGCATCTTGGACTAGTAGTCAAATATTGGAGATGACCAGGGGCACCGGACACTGTGTCAACTCTTGGCTCAGGAAGTTCGGGAGGAAGGAGAGAGAGAGAGAGAGAGGGGAAGGTTGTCAGCTCCGTCACAAAAACACAAGGTTTAAAATGTTCAAAACTTTACAAAACATCAAAATTCCTCCTGTAATATTGTCATGCAATATACATGTTGACACAACTGAGACAGGTTTTTTTTTTTCCCAAGAGTTCTCATGTCCAGTCTGGCAGTGTACGGATTACGCAGAGGGATTCACCTCTCTGGGCTGACAAGGTGGCACAGCTTTTCCAGCCCTCCTGCCTTCCATCACGGTTATGCGGGAACCAGCTTCCGTGACTTAAAAAAACAAAACAAACAAACAAAAAAAAAAAAACTAACCAAAAACATCTCAAGTTTCAGTTGAAACATCCTACATAGGTGTTACATCACATTTCACTAAATAAACGAGCAAAAAAAAGCGTATAAGTGAATCAATTCTTGTGACTTATTTGTTCAACTATTGTACACATAAAGCCACAGCATATTATATGTATAGATATACAGTGTTATGACACTGAACAAACCTGACAGCCTGGTAATGAAATGCTACAAACTGCAACGCGCAGGACGGATCTAGCATTTCTACTTCTACCACATTTTCAACACACAGGCTATTGATATAATGTGCTCAGTGCACAGATTTTTAAGAAATAAAGAGGCAAAAATGAGAAAATCTTACAAAGCAATGCAAAAAAAAGTATAAAACAATAAATACAAAATATTGTAAACTAAACATTTATCCTCGTCAAATCATGTGCATGTAGCCTTTTTGTGTTATATTACACCTACCACACTACACATTAATAATCTTCATTGTGGCCTTTGCATTTAAAAAAAAATAAATAAAAGAAGTGGTGATACAGGGCAACTAAGGAAAAGGTGCAAAAATTAAATTTCATTCAGTAACTCAGTTAATTCAATCAAAAAAAAGAAAAAGTTGAACTTATTTAAGATTTAACAGCCAGCAAGGCCCATAAATCCACAGCGGGATATATGCAGACATATTAATCGACTGCCTCTGAACCCATCAGCTTCCCCACTGTCTTTTAAAACTTCAAACATTAGCTGCAGACAACAGCACTGAAAAGGAGCACTTGGCACTGAAAGAAAAGATAATAATAAAATCACTTATGTTTAAGTTCACACGTCTTCAGTAAAAGAGACCTTTCCCATATATTCCCCATAATTTTCAGCCTCCTTTACTTTCCCTTGCCGTCTCTTTTCGGAGAGACGGGTGGAGAAGACGAGTGGGGCAGTCTTTCACTCGGGCCAGAGTGTCTGGCAGTGTTTAAGTGGCACACCAGGACTTGTTTCAGTCTGCCAAGGCGAATCCATTGTGGAGGCAGGTGGGCCAACACACATCCTCGCTCAGGACACAGACTTGTGTGTCCTAGCCTTTGTCTCCATGCAGCCTGGCAACGGAGCCGGCGGCTATGAAGTCAGTGGGTGCAGAGCATTGCTATGGGAACCAGCATAGTAGGCTAGGCTGTGGCTGCACTTGGATCAGTTTGAAGACTTTTCTGCATACCGCTTAACGCTGGAATCGCCTGCAGAGTTCACTCTCTTAAATATTCTTCCCAAGACTGGCCTAAGATCTTATCTGCAGTTTTTCTTCCACTCTCTATTGAAAAATAGATAAATATTTATTGTAATAAAACTCAAAACGCAACTATGGGGTTAGGCTTTACAGAAACCGGGAGAGGTTCACGGTACTCTCTCGCCCTTCAGTTTGCCCTCGCGGAGTTAATTGTGATGAAATGTTACATCCATCCGTGTCAGCACGTCCACACACACACACACACACACACACACACACACACACACACACACACACAGTCGTCAACATAAAAACAAACAGCCGCCGGAGTAGAAATCTTAAAACTCATTGACTATAATTCAACACGGCATTGAACAACAGTAAGGTCTGAAGGTGGAGTCCACAAAGGCTCCCTGGCATTGTGTCGGCTGAGTCCACAATGTGCGTGAGGCGGAAAAAGGGGCGGGGGTCGGACCCTCCCTCGCTTAGTCAACCGAGCCGGGGTGCAAGCTGAGCGCTGGGGGGTCCAGACAGGTGGGGGAGTAGCTGAGGTGAGGCTCCTTAATCCACAGCAGGGGGGCGCCATTCTTGCCCTCCTGGCTCTTGTTGTTGTTGCGACCTTTGTAGCGCACGACCAGCAACGCGATGAGAAGGATGCCGAAGATGGGGAAAGGGTAGAAGAAGAGGAAATAGAAGAGGGACTCGTTGGAGCACACCACTGAATGGATGGTGGAAACTGGGGGCAAAGAACAAACAATTCATAGTGGTTAGCATTTTCTAAACTCGCAGTAAAGATAAAAACTTCCATTTTTTTCAGTTTATCTTTTGCCATCTTGCACTCCTTTTCATGCCCCCGTGTCATTTTGTGTTCATACTTCCATTTTGTACCCATAAAATAACTTTGTACCTGAAATCCACACAGCTTGTGTTTCTTTGTTCTTACAAATGTCACAAATTATAAGAATAAATCTCAATCTCCCAAAATCTCGTGAATATTAACACCTTATTTTATGCATTTATTTTGGTATTAGTACTTAATCTTAGCCAACTGACTTATATAAAATGACAGATTAAACCAAATCAACCCTAAGCGACATCCTACTGTTAATATGTTTTTTGTCTAATTAGAATTAACAGCATGTCC